AGTGGCCTCACGGTGCTGACAGAGCTCACGACTTAGAGCTGCAGGCTGCACCAAGTCAGACAGAACCTGAGGTGGCTGAAGCCCCAGGGCAGCCCAGAGGGCTGGGGAAGGCAAGAAGGGAGACTGAAAACCCAGCGGGGAGCCCAGGCCCTAGGTCTAGCCCTCATCATGACTCCAAGACCAGTGAGGACGCAGCCAGCTGGCCTGTCCTTCGCAAACAGGAAGACAGAGCACCCAGCAAAGCTCTTTGACAAACAAGGGTGAATCTTGGGCTCTTCTCTGATAAAAGCTGTAGGAGCTTCTTGTCAAAGTACTTTTAATAAAGAACTTCTAATTCCTGCTCTTTGGGAATAAGAATTATTACAGAAAAAAAAGGCCTGAGATGTGAGAAGAAATGAGCCAAGGAATTGTTGAACGTGTTGGTAAATTACTGAAAGCAGAGAGTATCTGTATAAAATAATCATCCGGGCACTATGCAAATTGTGGGGTTTTAAAAGAGATAACAGAAACAGTAGGTGTGGCATGTAGCATGCAAGTTGGGAAGAATGTTCAAGGGCTTTAAGGAATTTATGTATGTTAAAGTTTGGGAGAGGGCATTAGAGCTTGATCATTGCCGAGTTTTAAGTTAAATATGCAGTTTCCCAAGGTAGTTCCTCACAGGTGGTTCTAGAATGTCAGTGTGGAGTGGAATCACCTGGGGGTGGGGGGGCTTCCTGAAGCCAGGGTGGTGGGGTCCCACTCCCAGAATTTCCATCTGAGTTCTAGAACTTGCATTTCTAACCAGTTTCCTGATGCAATGGGTCCAGGAACCACATTCCGTGAACCACCGCACCAAACAGAGGTTACAGGGCAGAAAACCAACAAACACAAACAGCTTCCCTCCAGACAGGCGGCCAGTGGAAATATGCACATCCAAAACTTCATTTCCTGTTTTCTAACGGCCACGTTAAAAAGTAAACAGAAACAGGTGAAATTAATTCTAAGAGGATATTTTACTGAACCCAATAGGCTCAAAATATCATCATCTCCATATGTGACCAGTAGAAAAATAATTGAGATCATTTGCATGCGTTTTTCTGGACTTAGTCTTCACAATTCTGTCCTTATTTTATACTTTCCCCGCTGAATGTGAACAAGCCACATCACCAGCCCTCTGCAGCCAAGTGTGACTTGCCATCCACTGGACAGTGTGGGCCCAGGCGGCGGAGACCTGAGCCGAAGCAGGGGTCCCTTGGCCCCCTCACACGGGCCTGCTGGCCTCCCCAGATATACAGAGCATCTCCTCCCTGCACCAGCTGGTTGGTGAGCTGCAGAGCTGGGAGTCAAACCTGGCTCCTTCCTAGTCCATGCCAGCCTCAGAGTCTTCAGGGTCTTGTAGGTCTGAGTAGGCCAGACAGTCACTGTTTTTTGTTGTTTTTTTTTTTTAGATTTATTTATTTATTCATACAGAACTGGGGTACAGGCCAGAGATGCGGAGGGTGAGAGGATTCACCAGAGACAGAGCGGGGAGCAGAACAGGCAGATGGATGAAGTACACTGCTGAGGGGAGCAGCGGGCGGGTCAGGAAAGGTCTGCCGCACCCTGTGGGTCACCTCCGGGGCAGGTGGGGATAGAACTCGTGAGGAAGTGGCTTAAGCTTCTTTGTGCTGTGCTTTAACCCACTGCGCCACCAGGGAGGGCCCGACAGTCACTGTTTTAAGATTTGTGAACTAAGCCCTCAGCCGCCTTTGTGCCAGGAAAGCTGCGCTAGGCAATACGCCTACATGAATGTCTGTGTCAATAAAACTTTATTTAGAAAACAGGCAGAGGCCCAGCTTCAGCCCCCAGGCCTTCACTTGTCATAGTTACCTGGGCTGGGCCGTGAGGACTACTTTGGAGGAAACTCCATCACGGATGCTCACACCCAGTGATGTAGAGGTGCGGTTGAGGAGAGGGTCCCAGGAGTCCTCAGACTCCCAGGGGCCCAGCGGGTCCTCAACTCCCAGCCTTCTGCTGGCAGCCCAGGGCCGGGACAGAGGGGACAGAAAAACCAGGATGGATGGAGCCCATGAAATTGGAAACTGCCTTTAATCATCGGTGCGACCCCCAGTACTCCCCCTCCCGGGTCCTCTGAGCAGCATGTCCTGGGTGTTCAGTCCTGGCAGGCGAGGGGGTGGGCAGTGAACAGCTGTCCCTTCTCAGCAGCCGAAAAGTGTGGTTTGCTCAGACGGGCCAGCCGGTCTGGTCGCCACACAGCCTGTAAGTCGAAAGCAGCTCCCCTCACAGGCCTGAGGCCTGCTAGCCACACACACACACACACACACACACACACACACACACACACACACACATGCTCACGAGACCCCCAGCAGCGGCCCACTTAGCTGCCACCCTCCCCTCGCCAGGACTCCCTCCTGCCTCTTTATCTTCCCTCCTTTCCCTGAGGCACTGCGCTCCCGGGTCTCTCTCCCTCTCCCTCTTCTCTTCCTCTCAATCCCCCTCACAGACAGCCTCACTCCCCACAGAACAGGCTGGAGTCTGGCTGGGGAAATTTGACAGCCAGGGCAGAGTTCCTCTCCAGGCGCATTTAACGGGGACAGCAGGACTCAAGTAAGGTCTTGTGTCCCCCGTGTCCCCGCAAGAGCCTGGTCTCTGCGGAAGGAGACTTCGTGACCAGTAGGACGCTCCCGTGTCCGAGGGTCAGCTCCAGCGCCACATTCGGAATTTACAGCCCCCCCGCACTGACCAAGGAGGAAGCTGGTGGTTACGCCCATTTTACAGATGAGTAAACTGAGGCTTCAAATGTAAAGAATTTCTCCCCTAACCCAAGTTCTGTTCAACCACAAAGCTCAGTGTTTCCACACGCCAGGTCTAAATGGACGACCAGGGGTGTGTCTGGGAATTCTGAGTCCAGATTTGGCCACACGTCACCTCTCATCTTCCCTGAGGCATGTTACAGAGACAGGACCCAGTCACGGGAACGAGGGGGGCACTCAGGGCTCTCCAACCCAAGGAGGATACCAGCTGGATGCCAGGAGTCACCCCTGTTGGGCCCCATCAGAAAGACTTCGCTGCAGGCCGAGCCCATCTCTGGGGGCCTCACAGCAGCAGGAGGGACCGGTGTGGCTCAGGGCCAGGTAGCCCTGCCCGGTAGCAAGCACTGAGCTACTGTCTCTGAGTTCCTGGTGCTGGTGTTCAGCCAGGGGACCTGC